AACCAAATAATATAAACAATGCAAAAAACATAAAATTTGTAAATTAATCAACTGCAAGGAATTTGCCATAAACTCAAAACTGCATCTCCAGCAGCAGCAGCAGCAGCAGCAGCAGCAGCTTGATTTTACCCTTGTCAGGCTTCAAACCCGGAACTTTTGCTTCTGTACTTATTGGCCTTTTAGTTGCAATTTGAATTGCCATAAGTTTCTCCGGAGACATGTGCAGCAGCTCGCACTGCTGCTGCGTCTTTGCTGCTGCTCGTTCGGCCCCCACCAGCGGCTGCTGCTCCTGCTGCAGCTGCTGCAGCTCCTCGCTCTCCTGCTGCTGCTGCAGCGAACGCACTGCAGCAGCAGCAGACCACCAACTCACAGGTATTTCAAACGGCACGCGCTGCAGCCGTGACCACTGGACCATTCCCTGCTGCAGCCACCCCCAGTACACGGGCCAGCCCGGAGCAGGGCTGCTGCTGCTGCTGCTGCTGCTGCTGCTGCTTCTGCTGTCGCTGCTGCTTCTGTTGTTGTTTCTGCTGCTGCCGCTGCTTAGCTTTTCACCTCCATCAGCAGATCCAGAGGTAGATGCACCGCCTGCAGCAGCAGCAGAAGCAGCAGCAGCAGCAGGAGCCGCAGCAGCAGCAGCAGCAGGAGCAGTAGCAGCAAGATATCTTGCATGCAGCTGCTCCACTGCATGCCTCTTCAGTCCTTCTCGGGCGCTTCTGAGGGCAACGAGCAGCAGCTCGTCAGCGTTTGGTGCAGCAGCAGCAGCAGCTGCTGCTGCTGCTGCTGCTGCCCCTGGCCCGGGGCCTTCTGCTGCTGCTAGCCGCTGCTCGCGCCTCGCAGCAGCAGCGCCACTAAACCTCTTGGCGACGCCAGCAGCAGCAGCAGCAAGCTGCTGCTGCTGCCAAGATACAAACGCATGCAGCGCGAGCAGCTGCTGATGCAAAGTCTTCCGCTGCTGCCTTTCTGCTGCTGTTAAATCTGGCCAACTTTGCTGCCCGCTGCGGCCGTCCCACTGGAACTCCGTTGCTGCTGTTGTTGCTGCTGCTGCTGCTGCTGCTGCGCTGCTGGGGCCCAGGCCGAAGGCGCCTGAGCCTGTCGAAGCAGCAGCAGCAGATGCCGTTGCTGCTGCTGCTTCCGTTGCTGCAGTGTCTGCTGTTGCTGCAGCGGCCCACTCCCCCACAGAGGGCGGCCGCTGCAGCTGCAGCAAAGAGCTGCCTTGAGGTCCCTTCAGCAGCAGTGCTGCTTCTGCGCGCAGCAGCAGCAGCAGCAGCTCGTAAGCAGCAGGAGACAGCACGCCATTGGGGCAGGTCACCCTGCCGCTGCTGTTGCTGCTGCTGCTGCTGCTGTCGTTAGCCCCCACATTAGAAGCCGCAGCAGCAGCACCTGATGCCGCAGCCTGGGCGTCTCCTGTTGCTGCTGACCGCTGCTCTTGCTGCTTCTGCTGCTGCTGCTTCTGCTGCTGCTTCTGTTTCTGCTGCTGCTGCTGCTTCTGCTGCTGCTTTTGCTGCTGCAGGCGCGAGGGCCCCGTGCTGTGCACCAGCAGCACCAGCTGCTGCAGCTTCTCCAGAGACACTCCAACAGCAGCAGCCCAGCTTTCCCAGCTGGTCAGCAGCAGCAAGTCCCGCTGCTGCTCCCACTGCAGCAGCAAATCTGCAGCAGCTGCAACATCTTGCTTCTCGAGCACCTCATTCACTGCAGCAGTTACGTTGTTCTTAACAGGCGCTGCATCACCTGCTGCTGCTGCTGCAGCTGTTGCTGCTGTTGCAGATCTCCCTCCTGTTCTTGGAATTCTTGCTGCTGCTGCTGCTGGAGACGCTGCATCAGCTGCTGCTGCGACGCACTCCCTCCTCTGCAGCTTTAGAGGGCTCGACAGCTGCAGATTGCGGTACCGCAGGAACGCGAGTTGCTTCTTGTTGCTGCTGCCGCTGCTGTTGCTGCTGCTGCTACTGCTGGCCTCTGCAGCAGTTCCCCGTGGGGGAAGCCGAGCTTCCTGCTGCAGCAGCTGGCGCCCGACGTAGAGGGCTCTGGCTTTGGGGCTGCTCCAGGGTGCCCTGCAGAGGCCCAGGGGCAGCTGGGATAAAAGAGCCAGCAGCAGCAGCAGCAGCAGCAGCGGCAGCTGGTGCATGCAGTGACGGCCGGGAGCTGCAGCTGCAGGCATGGCAAAGGGTGGAGGCGGCTGTCGCCGGCGTTGCATGCAGCGCAGAGTTCAGTTTCCGTGCTGGTTCATTTCGCCTGCTGACTGGCGGGTGAAACTTGCAGGAAAACGCGCGAAATGCCTGATAAAATCATTGATCTGTCAATTATTAATGAATAATATTCAATTTGGGGGAGTTCAGGAGCAGTTGCTCCTCTTGGAAAACTACTGACTGGTTAGATCGGGTCCTGGGCGCGTGATCAGCCCGCGCAGGCTTGCGGTGTCTGTACACCCGAACGGTTTCCGCTGCTGCTCCATTTTTTGCCTTTTTAGCGCCTCAAGGAGATATTTCAAAGGAAATAAAAGGCAAAAAAGTAAACAATTTGTCGAAAGGGGAAAAGAGCTGCGGATGGGGCCGCGGCGGCGGCCGCGCGGCATGCGCGGCGTTTCCGGCGGAGGAGAAGCAGGAGCTGCAGTTTAGATGTTAAAAAGTGCATTAAATTGTTAATTTATTTGTTTTAATTGCTTTTGTGTTTCTTCCGTCGCTAAATATCTTTGCGTTGCAGCTGGCGGGACGCGTCTCGCTGGCGTCTGCCGGTCAGCAGTTCAAGTTCCGCAGCGACAGCGCAGCGGGGCGGCGATCTCGCGCTGAAAAAGGTCATTTCTTTGTTTTTTCGAAATTACTTTGCATTAAATTACATTTACTTTCCCCTTTTTGCGAAATTGCTGCAGCTTTCCGCAGCTTTCCGCAGCTTTCCGCAGCTTTCCGCGCCCGCCGCCGCCGCCCCCGTTCAAGTCCAGAC